AGGGGGCTCAACACACATCCCTGAGGAGAGCCAGTGCTGAGGGTTATGGTGGAGGAGGAGAGGTTGTGGATCCTCACTAACTGTGGTCTGTTTGTTAAAAAGTCTAGTACCGGTCAAGTGCATACCTCCACCTCTCCAAGTTCTCTTCCACCTGTTCCCTGTTTTCACCACAGATCACGTCATCTGTAAACATTGTAGTCCATAAGGATTCCTGCCTGACCTCAGTGTTTTAGTTAAAACACTATGTTGCTTAAAACTAACTAAAAATATGTTTTTTCCTGCACAAAATGCACTTATTTAAATGCTTAAATATACTACGGCCCTTGTTGTATTTTAACTATTAATACCAATGACCCCAAAGGTTGTTAAGTAGTATTTACTGTGATTTTTTTCATCTTTAGGATAATTTCTTTTTTGATGTACTTGAACTCAATGCTCTTTCCAAAAAACATATTTTTAGTAAACTTTTTGTCCAAGAGTTTTTGAATGTTTTTTTGTTTGTTTAATTTGTTTCAGTACACTTTTTTTGGGAGTTTTGACGTAAAGTTTTCAAAATTGTAGCATCTTCTGAACTGGCCATGAACAAGTACACAAATAATGATAAAATTATTTCTTGCACTTTTTACAACACAAGCAAGTAATAGACTTACACATTATACTAGAGACTAATGAAGTTTAATGAGAAAAAAAAAGTATGAAACCAAAAAGTGTTGTGTGCTTATAAATCCCACACATTTGTTTTTGAAGCTTTGAAGAGTGGTGATCAAAACAGACCTGAATGGACATGTTGGTGAAAGAAACCGAGGGGATGAGGAAGTGATGGGTAGGTTTGGTGTCGAGGAAAGAAACCAGGAAAGACAGATGGTGGTGGATTTTGCCAAGAGAATGGGAATGGCTGTAGTCAACACCTATTTCCTAAAGAGGGAGGAACATAGGGTGACCTATAAGAGTGGAGGAAGGAGTACACAGGTCGACCACTGGGCCTTCCTGAAAGCAGAGAAGAAACCCAAACAGGACTTCAGTCAGCCATCAGGTGCGAAGGAGGAACCCAGACCCAGACCAGTGGTCATTCTGTATGCTGAGGGAGTATCAGAGAAACTGAGATGTTTATTTTCTAAACATAACGTCCCAGTAGCTTTTAAACCCCAAGATACATTAAGGCAAAGACTGGTTCATCCCAAAGATCCAGTCCCCCGGCACAAACAGAGTAATGTTGTGTATGCTGTTCAGTGTCAGGAGGGCTGTGATCAGTCTTACATCGGGGAAACTAAACAGCCACAGGCCAAAAGGATGGCCCAGCACAGAAGATCAACATCATCAGGCCAGGACTCTGTGGTCTACACTCATCTCCAGGCCAGCGGTCACTCTTTCAGGGATGAAGATGTTCACATCCTGGATAGAGAGGAACGATGGTTTGAGAGAGGAGTAAAGGAAGCCATCTTTGTGAAAAGCAATAATCCATCATTAAACAGGGGTGGAGGCCTCCATGTTCAACTGTCCCCCTCTTACAATGCTGTTATTGCTAGTATCACTCAACCCCCTGTGAATAGTAAACAGCCATCAGTGTGCTAATGATCCATTGTTAGGCTGATGGTCCTTCTTGATCATGTGATCAGCTGGTTTTGGTTGTCAGCAGCAAACTGGTTGATCCACTCTGAGAAGGTGCTATTTAAGAGACTGAGCTGAATACAGCACCTCAGACTGAGGAAGTCTTTTGGATGAAAGACGAAACGTTTCTACATTTTTCTTTTTTTTTGTTGTTGTTTTGTTTTTTGAATGTCCAGAGGACTAGATTTAACTTTTTTAGATTTGCTAAAGTTACACTATTTTGTAGAATACAAATGAACTGTGTGGTTTTACCCAGCACATTTCTTTATATTCATTTAATTATATGAAGGAACTGTTTAAACCAGCCACTAGGGAGCACAAACCATTGTATCTCTTGTGCCGGTCCCAAGCCCGGGTAAATGGTGAGGGTTGTGTCAGGAAGGGCATCCGACATAAAACACTTTTGCCAAAACTAATATGAGAGTTCATCAAAGTGAAAAAGACAAAAGATGAGATACATGTACTGTATATGGATGCAGTTAGAGAGGACATGTAGGTAGTTGGAGTGAGGACAGAGCGAGATGGAGGAGGACGACTCGCTGTGGAGACATCTGAAGAGGGAACAGCCAAAAGAAAAAGATGAAGCAAAGGTTAAAAAAAAAGTGCTGTGTGTTGTCATCATTGAATGTTCCTATACAATGATGAAATTAGTTTTCTGCTAAACCCTTCGCACCTGAGATACACCCAGGTAGAACAGTGGGCAACTGCCCAGGGAGCAGTTAGGGATAGGATGTCTTGCTCAAGGACACCATGACATGTGGGCATGACGGGGAGTTGAGCCTGCGACTCACTGGTTCCAAGTCAGCTGCCCTACCTCTACACCACAGCAGCCCCATTGAATGCATATCAATCAATCAATCAATCAATCAATCAATCAATCAATCAATCAATCAACTTTATTTATAAAGCACATTTTAAAACCACAAGGGTAGCCAAAGTGCTGCACAATAAAACAATAAAAACAAACAAAACAATAAAAACATACAAAGCATACACAAAGAAACATAAAAACCATTCACATACCAGTTTCACAGCAGGTGTATTAAAAAGCCATAAAAGAGAAGATCACGTGTTAAAAGCCAAATAATAAAAGTGTGTCTTTAAAAGAGATTTAAAAACAGGAAGAGAGGAGGCCTGTCTGACACTCAAGGGTAAAGTGTTCCACAACCTGGGAGAAACAACAGCAAACGCTCTGTCACCTCTGAGCTTCAGCCTAGTTTTAGGGACTGTCAGCAGCAGCTGATCAGCTGATTGTAGGGATCGGGGTGGACAGTAAGGCTGAAGCAGCTCAGACAGATATGGTGGGGCAAGGTTGTTCAGACATTTAAAAACAAACAGCAAAAGCTTAAAATTAATTCTGTAGTGCACAGGGAGCCAATGAAGGGACGCCAGGATGGGAGTAATATGCTCGCGCCTACGAGCCTGAGTTAACAGGCGAGCAGCAGAGTTCTGCACAAGCTGCAAACGAGCAAGAGACGTCTGGCTAATGCCTGCATACAGCGCATTACAGTAGTCGAGACGAGCTGTGATAAAAGCATGGATTAATTTCTCCAAGTCAGGTCTTGCTAGGATTGGTTTCACTTTTGCTATTTGGCGGAGCTGATAAAAACTTTTCTGAACAACACTGCTGATCTGTTTTTCAAATTTAAAATCAGACTCAAACTTCACCCCTAGATTGGTGACACAGTCCTTGAGAAAAAATGACAGTGAGCCAAGATCTATGCTGGGAGAGGGACGGCAACTTGGTCCAAACATCATAACTTCAGTCTTGTTCTCATTTAGACTAAGGAAGTTAAGAGAGAACCATGTCTTAACATCATTAAGGCAGTGTGTAAGTTGTTGAACTGTGTTGTTTTGTGCCATGGGAAAATAGATCTGAAAATCATCAGCATAAAAGTGAAATAAAATGCCATGCTTCCTAAAAATCGAGCCAAGGGGGAGTAAGTAAAGGGCAAATAAAAGAGGGCCAAGGATTGAGCCCTGGGGGACACCATGTGGAAGAGGAGCAGTGGAAGACATAAAATTGTCGATTTTTACGCAGAAACTCCTATTGGTTAAATACGACCGAAACCAATTAATTTTGTATTCTAATGTAATCTGAGAGCTACATTTAAAATATTTTTTGGAGGGGGCAAATAAATGTTTACAAGGGCCAGATTTGTCCTTGGGGCCTTGAGTTTGATACATGTGCTTAAAATTATAAGAACAAACAGAACCAACAGCTGGACTAACCGTTATGATTTTAAAAATGTGGGAGAAGAATAACATTTAAATTGAACTTTATAAGCAGATTAAACACTAGCTAAGTAGAGAAAACAATAATAACAATAAAATGTAGACAAATGTGAAACATTGTCTGAACAGATTGGATCTTCACACACTTCCTGGGAAATGTAAGGTGGAGTTTCCTTCAGGACAATAGGAATGGTATTGCAGCTAAGCCTGTTATAATTATGCACTATTTTATTAGAGGCCTTTGGCGATTTTTGTATATTAAACAAAACACTGGCAAAATGGGATCACAATCCTTTGCCACTAACATTTTCTAAGTCAGAAGCTAAAATGCTTAAGAACCATTGAGTTAACCACAACCCCCTTCCCCCAAACTTGTTTTAACTTCCAGGATGTACTAAAACTCAGAGAATACCAAGTGGGCAATTATTTTTGTGGACGAAGGTAGATGAGTATCAGAGAACATTCTATTCTCTTGTTTATGTTTCTGTTTTTCAGGGCTTTCACCGGTATTCCACTGATTCCTCGTGGCACGTTCCTCACTTTGAGAAGATGTTGTATGACCAGGCTCAGTTGGCTGTGGCTTATATTACTGCCTTCCAGGTGTGCAACTGTCTCCTATGTTTGTGTTATTCTCAGACAATCCCACAGGATAATTTACCTCTGTTGAAATGTTGATTAGCCAACCAAAATTTCACTTGTAGAACATTAATCAGTTGTCTGCATATAAAAATACATTAGATACAACAAGAACTAGTTGCATGCTACAGTTTTTGCTCTTCTCATGGGTGTTAAAGTGACAAGTTTTTATTTTATTTTTGTGTAGATACAGACTGAAAAAAAAAACCTACCTTCAGGGAAGGAGCAGACTGTGTACATGCTTGAGTTTAATGAAGGACTAGGGGTTGCCTCAGGATGTTCTCTGGGTGTTGTAGTAGGGAACACCCTTCAAATTAATCACACCATATGTCGAATCATGAGACTTATGCAGGTGCGCTCCATGTGTTTCTCCTTTTCCAGGTATCAGGTGAGCAGTTCTACGCAGATGTAGCTAAGGACATACTGCTCTACGTCTCCAGAGACCTGAGTGACAAGGTGAATCATTTGTGGAGATTCTACCAATACATCTGTGTGTACCGGCGTTTCATTCATACATTTGTAGGAAAAGCTGAGAAAGAGTTTTTTATAATTACCAGTTTGGGTCAAACTTTTGTCCTTTTTGATTAATGGGATGACATCAGTGAACAGGGCACACAATTAAAACCACACTGTTATTGTTATATTCCCTTAAGATTTATTAAATAATTATAGGCTAATGAAAAACTATCTCAAAGGTAATTCTCTTGAGGCTCCTTGTTTTTTACACTGTGTCGGGGATCTGCTTTTATTGAAGCAGAGTACTCCTCATGGCTTTAAAAGTACTGGCACTTGCTGGATTCTGATGTTGACGGAGAGCTTACAAAACTTTGCTGTGTTCCTGTCAATGTAAAATACTTATTTGACATAAACTAATCATGCGAGGGCCTTGTCTGGACATACAGGTCCTTCTCAAAAAATTATCATATTGTGATAAAGGTCATTATTTTCCATAATGTAATGATAAAAATGAAACTTTCATATATTTCAGAGTCATTGCACACCAACTGAAATATTTCAGGTCTTTAATTGTTTTAATACTGATGATTATGGCATACAGCTCATGAAAACCCAAAATGCTTGTCCCAAAAAATTAGCATATTTCATCCCACCAATGAAAGACGAGTGTTTTTAATACAAAAAACGGCAACCTTCAAATAATCATGTTCAGTTATGCACTCAATACTTGGTCGGGGATCCTTTTGCATGAATGACTGCTTCAATGCGGCGTGGCATGGAGGCAATCAGCCTGTGGCACTGCTGAGGTGTTATGGAGGCCCAGGATGCTTCGATTGCGGCCTTAAGCTCATCCAGAGTGTTGGGTCTTGTGTCTCTCAACTTTCTCTTCACAATATCCCACAGGTTCTCTATGGGGTTCAGGTCAGGAGAGTTGGCAGGCCAATTGAGCACAGTAATACCATGGTCAGTAAACCATTTACCAGTGGTTTTGGCACTGTGAGCAGGTGCCAGGTCGTGCTGAAAAATGAAATCTTCATCTCCATAAAGCTTTTCAGCAGATGGAAGCATGAAGTACTCCAAAATCTCCTGATAGCTAGCTGCATTGACCCCACCCTTGATAAAACACAGTGGACCAACACCAGCAGCTGACATGGCACCCCAGACCATCACTGACTGTGGGTGCTTCACACTGGACTTCTGGCATTTTGGCATTCCCTTCTCCCCAGTCTTCCTCCAGACTCTGGCACCTTGATTTCCAAATGACATGCAAAATTTGCTTTCATCCGAAAAAAGTACTTTGGACCACTGAGCAACAGTCCAGTGCTGCTTCTCTATAGCCCAGGTCAGGCGCTTCTGCCGCTGTTTCTGGTTCAAAAGTGGCTTGTCCTGGGGAATGCGGCACCTGTAGCCCATTTCCTGCACGGTGCACGGTGGCTCTGGATGTTTCTACTCCAGACTCAGTCCACTGCTTCTGCAGGTCCCCCAAGGTCTGGAATCGGCCCTTCTCCACAATCCTCCTCAGGGTCCGGTCACCTCTTCTCGTTGTGCAGCGTTTTCTGCCACACTTTTCCCTTCCCACAGACT